ATATAAATACACACACACATATAAAATGTTTTTCTTTGTTGCATTTCCCACAGATTAAGGTAATTTCTGGAAACCATGAAGTCAAACCAATGATGAAAAGTACAACCAGAAACATATTAGGCCTTCTGTGGTGTTCTCGACAGAACTGTCCTCTAAATAAGAAGTTAAGGTTTATACTAAATGACCTTTTATATATCTGGCCTAAAGCATGTCTTTGTCTATGCACCACATTTCTAGAGCTGCGAAGAATTGATGTGTTGCAACATCAGGTCTCAGTGGCTAAACTGAGAAGATTGGAATTGATCTTTCACTTGACTATTTCAGAAGCACTTTACCACCTCTATCGGAAACAACTTTTATTCTGGCAGAGCTTGGGTGGTAGGAGGCAACGTGCAGGGCCCTTATGGGCTGGAAGTAGCAGATTGAGGGAACAGCCGCTTCCATGGGTGGTGGACTTGGTAGGGGTGGGTGTAAGGACCAAAGCAGAAGACACCCGACTCAGTGCAAATCTCCTGGGGGTGCTCTGCATCATTCCTTAGCAAGGTTAAAGTAGAGTGATTCTAGATGCTGCTAAGAAGGTTTGTAAAGGTTGTCCGGCCAGAAACCTCCATGCAGAGCCCAAATCTTAGGCTGAGTGGAGACTGAGGGAGAGCTGGTCCCCAGGCTTTCCCTTAGCTGAGCTGCAGCTCCTGTGACCATTACCCTTCCAACCCCACCCAGGCACACCCGGTGACCCCACCCTCGCCCGAGCCTGTGTGGTGTGGCCCTTGCAGTCTGCCGGCAGCCTTTACTTCTCATCCTCATCCCCCTCACTCATGCTGCTGATGGAGGCTGAGGCTGCTTTGGGCGAGGAGGGGGGTGAGGTTTTGTTCGGGAGCCACGAGAAGGTGGGCGACGGGGAGCGGGAGGGGGACCGGCTCCTGGTGGGGCTGCTCACAGGGCTCTGCTTCGGGGACAAGGCCTGCAGCATCCGGCTACTCCTCTCCTGGAACATCTGCTTCTAGAGAGAAATTTGAGAGAAGGCATCTGTTAAGTTAGCCATCTGAGGTGGCAGGGAAACAAAAAGGAAAGGCAGGAAGGAGAGCCACCACCCCACAACGCCGGCCCCCACAGACTGGTCCTACAGTTGATGTCGTCCAGGACTATGTGTGGGGAGCAGCTGAGTGAAATTCAGGGGCAGTGAGATGTGGACAGAGATGACCATCTCTGCTAGTTCTTGGGACTCTTGCCTTCTTGCCTGCCTTTACTCCAGCTACAAAATTTAACTGAGTGTCTGTTCTCTCCCAGGCAAATAGTAATGTCCAGGGTACAGAAGGGCAGTGGGAAATAAAACAGAAGTCCCTGTCCTCCTTGACATGAGGACGAATCACACAATAAACAAAATGAACAAAATATGTGGATGTCAGACGGAAGTACGGTCTGTGAGAAAAAATAAAACGTGAGACTATAGCAAATGGGGGTGTGAGGTGGGTGGGCGCCTGGGCAGCAGTTGTAATGAGGGTGCTCAGGGAAGGCCTCAAGAAGATACTATTTGAGCAAAGACCTGAAGGATGAGGGAGGGGCCCGTGTGAATGGAAATCAGGGGCAAACACATTCCAGACAGAGCACCCGGAGAAGGGAGCATGCACTGCACGTCCAAGGAGGAGCAAGAAGGCCATCCATGGTGGCTGGAGTGGAGTCACCTGTGGGGGAGGGGTATGGGGGAGGGGGTTAAGAGAAAGTCACCAGAGGAGTGACAGAAAACTGTGTCATGTAGGCTCTCGGTGGCCATGTGAGAACTTCAGCCTTTACTGTGAGAAGAGAAACCTCTGGAGAATTCCTTTACCTCTGAAGTTCTGAGTCCCAGACTAAGGAACTCTGACTTTGGTTTTAAAAGGACTACCCCGGCTGCAGTGTGGGGACCAGACCACAGGGAGCCAGAGCAGGAGCAGCGGGAGTGGTGAAGAGCCCACTGTAGCGAGAATCCAAGTAAGAAGAATGATGGCGCCCTGGACCACGCCCATCGCCGCGAGGATGAGATGAGGTGAGAAATAGTTGGAGCCTGGTCGATGTTTTTCCCCATAGTTTTAGTAAGGTATAATGGACTTAAAGTAAAGCTCAGCCTTTTTAGTCTCCGGTTCTGTGAGTTTTGATAAATGCCTGCAGCTGTGTGACTGCCACCACGGTCAGGGTATTAGGAGAGTTCCATTAGCCACCCAATCCCCATGAGATCCTTTGTCACCCCCTCCCCTAGCCTCTGGCAACAGATCTTTTTTCTGTCCCTCCAGTTTTGCCTTTTCCAGAATGTCCTCTAAATGGAATCATGCCGTATCATGGTCTGGCTACATTTTGAAGGTAGAGCCCACAGGAACTGCTGGCAGACGGGATGTGGGGCGTGGGAGGAAGAGGAGACAAGTGACCAGTTTCTGGCCTATGAAACTAGAAAGCCAGCAGTGTCATGTGCTGGTGTGGGAGACTCCTTGGGTAAAAGGGGTTTCGGTGGTGAGACAGACTTTCCCACTGGGGACCTCCAGGGACTACTGCCCTGTGCTTTCAGAACTGAGCCCCTCCCTGGCACTGTCCTTCAGCTTTATGGGGATCCCCGTCCTGGCCTAGCACTGGTGCCTGCCGATCTGCCCTTCTGCTCTCTGCCTGCCGCTCAGCCCCCCACATGTACCCATATTCCATTCCACCCACCTCTGAGCACCCTGCCCCTGCTGCCTGGGCTCTGTGCCCTCATTTCTCCCCCTCCCTTGCTTGTCACAGAACCTCTGCCCCCAGCACCTCAGTCCAATCCTGTGATCCTAAACTGGCCTTGAGAGCCATTTCTCCTGTTTGCCATTTTAGACTTTTCTTGTCATTTGAGTTACTCACTTTACAAACCACTACAGAGCCCCCTGAAGAACAGGTGCTCTACAGGAGATGCTCATATCCAAGCTGGGACTTCGGTGATGTACAGGAAGAGGGGGTTGAGGTGGGAAGGAGCCTGTGGAGATGGTGGAGGGGTGACTTTCCAAGCAGAGGGCGCTAAGGAGAATGCTGCGTACAATTCTTGGCAGGACTGTAAGCTGAGTGCCTATGGGCTTGACCGTAGGCTGGGGCTGGAGCACCAGGAGGAGCTGGGACTTCTATGCCCCAAGAGCCCCTGGAAGATTTTCATTAAGGGAGGGGTATGATCAGATTTGTGTTTTAGAGATACCTTTGGGTGGGAGCATAAAAGCAAAGAGAGAAACCATAAAGGAAAAGATTGGTGTTCGGCGAAAGTGTAAAACGTATGTACCCCCACCAAAAAAAAAAAAAACACCATGAAATAAGGTAAAAGGCAAGTGAAACACGGGGAAATTCTTGCAATATTTAACTGAATAATGGATCTTAGTATATAAACAGAGCCTACAAATTAAAAAGAATGTAAAAATGTTCTGTAGAAAAATGAGCATATGACTTGTTAAGGCAGTGCACAGAAGACTGACAAACGACCTATAAAAAGTGTTCAGCATCACTAGTAAACAAATGCAAAAGGACTGAAGTGAGACACCTTTTTTATATATCAGATTGCTACAGGGTTGTTTTTGTTTTTTTATCTTCCCAACATGTAAAAAAAATTTTTTTTCCAGTTTTATTGAGATGTAATTGACACACAGCAGTTTAAGGTGTATAGCGTAATGATTTTACTCACGTATATCGTGACATTACCACATTAAGTTAACATCTGTCATCTCATAGATATAAAAAATATGTATTTTTCCTTGTGATGAGAACTCTTGCTCAGCAGTGTTAACTATAGTCTTGATGCTGTACACTGTATCCCTGGTACTTATTTATCTTGTAAGTGGAAGTTTGTACTTTTTGACCACCTGCATCTCATTTTCCCTCTTTCACTCCTATCTCTACCCTGGTGACCACAAATCTGGTTGCTTTTTCCCTGAGTTGTTGGTTTTTTTCCCCCACATGTGAGATCATGTATTTGTTTTTCTCTGACTTGCTTCACTTAGCATAATGCCCTCAAGGTCCATCCATGTTATCACAAATGGCAGGATTTCCTCCTTTTTAATGGTTGACTAATGTCTACACATACTGTACTTTATCCTTTCATCCACTGATAGACACTTGGGTTGCTTCCATGTCTTGACCATTGTACATAATGCTGCTATGAATGTCGGGATGCAGATAGCACTCTGACATGGTGTTTTTGTTTCCTTTGGATATATTCCCCAAAGTGAAATTGCTGGATCATATATATGGTGGTTTCAGTTTGAATTTTTTGAGGAACCTCAATACTGTTTTCCACCATGGCCGCACCAACTTACAATCCCACCAACAATGCACAAGTGTTCCTTTTAATCCATGTCGTCTTCAGCATTTGTTATTTCTGGTCTTTTTGATGGCAGTCAATCTAATTGGTGTGAGGTGATAAGTCATTGTGGTTTTGATCTGCATTTCCCTACTGATGAGTGATGCTGAGCATTTTCTCATATACTTGTTGGTCCTTTGTATGTCTTCCGTTTCTGTGAAAAATTCCATTGGAATCTTGATAGGGATTGCATTTAATCTATAGATGGCTTTGGGGCACCTGGGTGGCTCAGTCGTTAAGCGTCTGCCTTCGGCTCAGGTCATGATCCCAGGGTCGTGGGATCGAGTCCCACATCGGGCTCCCTGCTCCGCGGGAAGCCTGCTTCTCCCTCTCCCACTCCCCCTGCTTGTGTTCCCTCTCTTGCTGTGTCTCTCT